CTCTTGCTTCTGAAAAGGGTTAGCACCACATGGCTGAGCCCCGGCCATTCCACCTGGGTGGTGGACATGCTCTTGGCCTTTGTGTGTGGCCTGGGGCTCTTCCTCCTCCTGCTGCCCTGCCTGCAGGGTGAGCCTGCGGCACCACCAGCGGGTAGGAAGAACAGCAGAAAGGTGAGCCCCGTTGCCCCTTCTCCTAGGTTCCGACTTCCACGTTTCCCAATGTAATGGCGCCGGTGTCCACTGGGAAACCTCGGGAGACACAGCCTCATCTGGGGCAGGTGGGGCCAGCAGCCCAAGAGTGGGCACCACAGCACCACCTGAGGCTCCAAGCCCATGGGTGGAGAGCTGGGGGCCAGGGTGAGCTCGAACACTGGGACTCAGAGGCCGAGGGCTGGAGACCTCTGAGCTGCGGTCCATCCCGCCAGGGCCTCCCATCACCAGGAGTCACCTCTGGCCTCAGGGAACAGAGCCCTGCCTGGCAGGTAGATGAGCTGCTTCCTGAGCACAGAACCCAGGACTGATGGGGTTGACACAGAAAATCCCTCTCTGTTTTTGAAAGGAGAATAACAATATCATATCTACTTTAAAAATGGGTAAAAGATTAGAAAAAAACAGATTCCACTGATTCACTGTAGAGTACCATAAAATTCATGGTCACTGTCTGCAGCTTGTCTAGAGGGAGGAGAGGGAAGATTGGGCCTCAGCCCCATTTTGGGGGGGTTTGTTTTTACCTTGTCTCTCAGGGTGGCCTGCAGAGGAGGGGCAGGAGCAGGAGCAGGAAGAAGAATGCGGCTCTAGCAGGTGAGTGCCTCCTCTCAATCCCGATGGAGCCGGGACAGTTCCACTGCTTCTAAGAGACCAGTTGCAGAGCCCTGAGAAGGAGGCTGCTGGGAAGGAACCCAGAATTGGAAAGGGCTCAGGTTCCATGCTCCAAAGGAAGCTGTGCTGCAGCAGGGGTGGGTGCGGCCCAGCAGCGGATGGTGGATGGCAGCAGAGCAGTCGGGCTGGATTGAAAGAAAGTGGGACCTTCAAGTCCAAGTGAAAACAGGCTGTTACTTGCCTACAGTTGATTCTTTTTTTGAGATGACCCCATCCTTTCTCCCACATGATGTATGTACGCACACTTTGTAAATGACAAAGACTTGCCCAGGCGAGTACCTTGCAGCCAGGGGTCATATGACCTTAGACACCGATGCTTGCTGTTCTAGAGTCTAATCTCCAGTGATCCCTTCTGAAGGAACATTTTGTTCAGCATCCTTTAAAATCCCCATGGCCTTCACACTATACCCTGTCTCCTCATTTCCAGCGTGTGGAGACTGCCTGGATTACCTGAAGGAGACCTGGAACCTGATTTCTCTTGTGCAAAGGTACAAAACTTTCCCTTTCTCTCCAATATCCTTCCTCCCAAGACCTATCATGGGACGCCAGGGCCTCAGAGCTGACCCAGGGGTGGGGGGGAGAACATGGAGATGGGGGCACTGAAACCCTGGGGCCAGGAGTGGCAGAACTGTGAAGTCAGGGGATGGGTCCTGAGGGACCAGGCCTGCTGATGCCCACCCTCCTGCTGGCCCCTCCTCTGGCTGCAGCCATGCCCTCTATTTCTGCAGCCTCCTGGGGACGGTCCCTGCCACCGACAGCTCCTACCAGCCCTTAGACCAAGACCCCCCTGACAAGGAGTACAAAAGAGCAGCTGGTGGGCCTCCCCGGCCACACTGGGAGCACGTGGACAGCACTGCGAAGGCTCCTCTGACCAAGCACCTCCTGCCTCTGGCCTCCTCTCCGTCCTCAGGTCCAGCAGCCTCCTCAGTTCCGGCCTGCTTACCCGCTTCCCTCACTGCCTCTCAGTCACCAGGGCCCTTGCTTCCCCTAGGATCCCTGTCACCCCAGCCACTGGCACTTCCCCTTCCCCCACCATGTCCACCCGGGGCCTGCGCAGTACCTCCAGCACCCTGCTCTACCCCACCACTGCCAGGCCCTGCTCCGACTCTCTCTCAGAGTGACTCAATGGACCTTCCCCTGGATGCAGTCACACGGAGCTCGTCCCCACCCAAGCACATGCTGGCTTCTCCCATCCCACACATCTCCAGCCTTAGCCACACAAGTTCTGCCATCCCAGCCCTTCCTTGGTGGCAGCTGGCTGCCAGAGCCTTGTGCCTCACCACCTCATCAGACAGCGAGTCCCAGAAGGGGCCTCTCTCCCACCAGCCACCAAGGGCCGTCTCCTTGGGAGTCCCCACCAGCAGGCAGATGGAGGCTGGTAACCCCTCTCTGCATGGCTCTGATGACCAGAACATCCTGGGGATAAAGGTCACAAGGAAAGTTGAGGTCAAGATTTGGAAAGAAAAAGAAAAAGATGGAACATTTCTAGAACAAATGAGCCCAGGATACAATCTCAGTTCTTTGAGGAATATGCTGAATTCCCTGGGTGCTGAGCAGGACCTCACAGTCCCACAACCCTTCTGGGAAATAAAGGACAAAGTGAAACAGCTGCTGGGGCCTCAGCAGCTCTCGTATTCCAAGGTCTTGGGGGACCATCTTGAGCAGAAGTACAACCAGCTCTTCTGGGGTCTCCCCTCTCTGCACAGCGAATCCCTGGCGGCTGCTGCCTGGATCTCCCAGGGCGCTTCTACTCTGCAGCCCACCTGCTTCTTGTTCAACAGAATCTCCAGTGTGTGCTCAGTTCAAGTGCAGGATAAAATGTCCCCCCTGCTTTCCCAGCCCCAGTCCCCACCCTTGATTCTATCCATGTCCCAATTCCAGCCTCAAACTCTGGGTCAGTTCCAGACCCAGGTCCACCTCCCATCCTCTTTCCAAGCCCTGCTACCCTCTTCTCCACCTCACATTACGGACTGTGCAGCATCTGGCCCTACATCCCAGAATAAGCCACAGTCTCTCCTCCCAACTGAATTTCAACACACACAAATGCCCTGGATTGGGAAACAACTGGGATGTGGGTGGGCTTTGCCCTCAGTGGTCCAAAGACCTCAGGAAGTCTTCAACATCCTCCCGACCCACCTCTCCCAAGACAACTGCCCGGACTCCATCCTTCCCGAGAATCTCCCAGTCAGTTCCGAGCTTCGGGAGCAACTGGAGCAACACATTCAAAGGTGGCTCATGCAACCCAGGTGGGACCAGATGCAAAAGTCTCTGGAACTAATGCAACTTCGGGAAGGGACATCTCAAGAAGTACCAGGGACGTGTCGGGCCAAGGACAAGCCCTGCCCCCTGCAGGCCTCCCTGTCTATAGGTGACAGCAGCAGGGATTCACAGAAGGTGAGGTTCCAGCTAGAGAAGGACACAGGCAAGCACCTGGGGCATATTCTAGGGAAGGTCC